ACGCTGACCAGCATGGCCAACCTGGCGTCGACGTTTTGGAACCAAGGCCGATGGAAGGAGGCCGAGTCGCTGTTTGTGCAAGTGATGGAGACGAGAAAGAGGGTGCTGGGAGAGGAGCATCCCTCGACGCTCACTAGCATGGCCAACCTCGCTCATACCTGGAAGAGTCAGGCCCGTCTTGGAGACGCTCTAGACTTGATAAAGACCTGCTTTCATCACCAGCAGCAAGTACTAGGCCGAGATCATCCGGACACGATCTCTACTCTCTGTTTTCTGGAAGAATGGCGGGAGCAGGACGGCAAAACGGGCTCTTCGGAGATGATTAATGGTTCTGGGTGGTAGCAGTTTGAGCGTACTAGTATCTTTTGCATTATGATATTTCAAGGGATTCTCCAATAGTCCACATGCGTGGTCTGTCATACAGTGCTATCTGATACCATATTTTCGAGCATCCCTCGCGTGTTCTCTTGCCGTTGCCGGCAGGCTGCACAGCCACACGATCAACCTCATGACTGTGTCCAACTTGGCGAAGGGCACCAAGCTGCTTCCCATGCGCGGACGGGAGCCGATTTTGGCTGGGGATTTCTGCTGTGGCCTCTTCTTCATGCTAGTCACTTGCTGGAAGCAGAGTACGCCGGTGCGTGTGAGCACGCACGGTATGCCAAACACGCCACTAGACAGGTTCCACTCCGCAGACGCAAACGCCCAGGACACGCTCAACAACGCTCAACGTAGCATGGTCCAAGAGAAGCACCAGCAATCAGCTGCCAGACAAAGTCGGAGCTCATTCCAAGCGAGTCGACGCAGCACTACCAGGCAAACACACCCGACTGCTGTACGACCACCTGTCACGAAAGGACGCTGGCGTGCTCACTCAGCTCAGAACAGGCATGGCAAGACTCAACGGTTACCTCCACCGGATCGGAGCAGCTCCGTCAGATCAGTGCGCATGCGGACAAGCAACAGAGACAGTGGACCACTCCCTCTTCCGATGCAGAAACTGGACAGCATACCGATCAGAGATGCTCGAATGTACAGACACCCATAGGAGCAACATTTCCTTCTATATAAGAGGGAAGTCGCCATCGGATAAGAAAGACTGGATTGCTAACATGACGGCCGTTCGGGCAACGATACGGTTCGCAATGGCCACGGGCCGGCTTGACACGAACCAACCGCAGGCTGACTAAGACACCTAACCCACTACACCCGACCGAACCTACACCCCCTCACCTCGTGCCACGGACAGCAGACACCGCTTCAGCCGCCGAAGATAGGACGTTGAACACTTGGAAAATCGCCTTCAAACAAGCCTGCTAACAATCCTACTAACCCACGAGAATCCGCAGAGAAATGGTATGAGAGGACATGAACTAGAATGAACTTTGTATGGGCTTCGACGAGATCAGGGGGATAACCACACTCGCCCCGCAGTGGCTGATCCAGCGGCTGATCCAAAAATGGCGCAGGTTTGACCCACTATAATCAGCGGGTGGCAATATTCCCCAATATCCACACCACTGTATTTTACGCTGCAGTGCTTCGCTTGTATCGCTGTAGGCGTCGCTGTAGTTACCATCGCGGTCACGGCGGTAGTTATGGCCAAAATACGTTCAAAATGGTACGACTCTCATTGCCAGCCTTGGTTCTATCTATATTCTAGCCCTCGCCGGTGCCCGTTGGCCGGCTTCGCGGAGCTTGCGGCTCGCCCGAAGCTGCTTGCAGAAGGAATCCAACGACCGGCTCGACTGCCTGTGGTCCGCCGCCACGGCGTGCATGGCCGAGATCTCGGCAATGCGCCGAGACTTGCTTATACGCCGAATCTCCCGGATGACTTCGAGGCGGAGAGAGTACCACTGCACCTCCGATCGCCGACCGGCTCGCCACCGGCTTCCCCACCGCGCATCTAGTGTCGAGACGGCTGGTTGCCCCGGCAAGCCAGTCATCCACTCCTGCCAGAGTGCTTCGACAGTCTTGATGGCCCTGCTCATCCGGTATTGGGGTGGGGTCTCTTCGGCGCCAGGGATACGGAGGTCGAAGTCGTCTGCCAATCCTGGCTCGAGCTCGAGGTCTGGCATTGTCACCGTAGCCCCCGCCAGTGCCAGCGCTGGCTCTGGTGCTGACGCTGGCGCTAGCGCTGGCCCTACCTCCGGTAGCCGGATCTGGAGCGTAGCTTCGGCAAGAGCCTGCCGGAGGTGGCTAGTGTAACTGCTTGTAAGCCGGGCTTCCAGCCTAGCAATCTCGGCAGTTAAAGCGGCTGTTGCCTCTGCGAGTTGTGCTGTATGCCGTGCCTCTGCCGTCAATAGATGCTCCGTGAACTGCGGGAGCGCCTGTGTAAGCAGCGTGAGCCGGTCCGGCTCCTCATTGCCGTTAACCCGGGCAAGCACCCGGCGTGTAAAGGGCCGATATTCGGGGTGCCGGAAGACTGGGTGGTTCCATACCGGGCTTCTAGGGAATCGGTCGATCAAGATTGCCGAGTCTTGGAGGACTACCTCACGGAGGTAGGCAAGGAGGTTGACCGTACCAGTACCGGCGAGATCTTTCGGCTTCCGGGCACCGCCAACCCACTGGTCTAGCTCCGGCCAGATCATCGATAGAAGTGCCGGCGGCGGCGGCACAGCTCGGGGTAGGTTGAAGCACCCCATCTGTGCCGGATGGCCGGCGATGCTCCGCATAAACTTCCGGGGCAGGGCATCAAGATAACACCCAACCATCTGGTCTGGATTCCACCGCCCGGCACGCCGGATCTGTGCCTCGCTTACCCCCCGCAGCTCGGCAGTCTTCGCCCCAGAGCTCCGCCCGGCGTGGGTCTTCTTCGCAGAGACTACACCAGCATAGTCGAAAGCCCGGCAAACCCAGCTCCGTTGAGTGTTGTAAGAGATGCCAGCAGATGGATCAGCACCAGCGGCCTTGATCAGACGGGTGCTATACCAATGCTGGGGGCTCCCAAAATTTGGGAACGGCTCCGGCGAGAGGTCCCACCGAAAGAGTAGGTAAAAGGCAAGAGCACCAAGAAGGCAGATCTCAGGGTCTCGGCTCCGAAGCGCTCCAGCTGTCTCAAGCCGGCCATGTTGGTTCGTCTTCCCGCCGCGGGTAGTGAAGATCAGAGGCATACACCGGGTCGGCCCTTCGCCAGGGAATTCGAATGTAAAGAGGTCTGAGATCTCGGCGGCCCTCCGGTCGTCACCTCGGGTTAGCATGTAGTGGCTCAGCAGGAGGTCCGTTAATGTGCGGAGGCACTGCTCGGTGATTGCTGGGCTCTCGGCGGTCTGGCCCCATAACTTCTCGGCAATCCTCCGGAGCTCCGGCTCCGAGTAGCCATCGAGAAGCGTCTCTTGTCCCTTGTCGGCATATACAGACCGACTCTGGGCTGCGTATTGCCGTTGCAGGGTCCGTACATACTCCCGGGCTGTAGTCTCCCGGAGTGACGGGTGGTTGTTCATGCCAAGGGTCCGTTGTTGCTGCCAAAGATCTGTGATCGCCG